CTTCACTTGTTCTCTTTCACCCAAAAAAACAGAGTGTGGAAACAAAGTATATAAAAGATTTATATTGGCGTATCCACATTCAAGGATAAAATACAACATCTTAGATAGCCAAATAGATGAACTACTATAAGTGTTTAGGGTGCAAATATAATACCTTTGGCGCTAAGAAGTTGATCACAACTTGGACGTGTTGGCAAGATCACTGCATATAAAAAATAATTTCAGTGAAAATAAAATTTACCAAAACGATCTACGCCCCAAATACTAATTCCTAAACAAATGTATTCATTAAAACTAAAAGAAAGAAGATGTTTAAAGTAGATTTAGCCATCCAGTAAAATATAAAAGATATATTTTTTTATGACGGAGAAACATGTCAAGTAAGAACAACATCTCTGAGGCCATAATAGTGTTTTTTGAAATACTTGGCAGTTGGCAATCAAGTATACTCATATACAGTAAAAAACGTGGTTTCAAATATAATACTCCTATGTTATATATATCAATCTTTAAACATTCCGCTCCACTTGATGATGGGCATATAAGATAATATGCTGCTCTCCAGACATGATGATTATGCAGCGGAAAAGATAATTTTATCTACGTTGTTATAAATCAAATATGGCGAGCTTTTGGTTTATGATAAGTCCATTTTTGAACTTATTTTTCTTATCAAATTTAAGCGATTTTTGAACGAAAATAGAAAGAAAAGACACATTTTATATATTTTGGTTCAAGTTTCATGAAATCAGGTAAAAATCACATCCATAATATGTTTAGCGGGATTTCGGGTCAATTGAGCACAAAATGAGTCAATTTGAGTGACAAATGCATTTATACCGGAAGAAGCAAGCATTTTATCAAGGTGATTCAGAAGACAAAAATGAAGAGCAAGAAAAGCCGCATCTGCCAGACAAAAATGGCCGAAGGCGCCCAAATAGGCGCCCAAAATGGAGGCCTTCGCGGCCGCCTACGGGAAAAATCAGAAGTCAACCTCGCTTTGACTCGGGACCAGGAAAAGACCGAAGGCTACCGACACTGGACAGAAGGCGGCCGCCTACGGTGGCCGCCTGCGGCACAAGGGGACGAAACCAACCACCGATCGGCCAGACGGGACGGCAGGCGGCCAGACAGGACGGCAGGCGGCCGCCTGCTGGACCGCCTGCGGCGGCCGGGATCCGCCGGGATCCGCCGCGATCCGATTTGACCCTGAAAAGACGGCAGGCGGCCGATGTGTGACGGAAGGCGGCCGCCCTCTGTGGCCGCCTACGGCTGACGGGGACCGGCCACCGACCGCTGTCGGCGACGAGGACGGCAGGCGGCCGGAGAGAGGCGGAAGGCGGCCGCCTGGTTGGCCGCCTTCGGGAAAATTTCTGCTATAAATTGCCCGATTTTTCCTCAACTCAAACACACCTCTTCCAACCCTAAATCAGTTCAAAACACCTTCTTTCTTCCTCCATTTTCGAGCTCCAAGGGTCTTAGAGAGAGAGAAACTTCAAATCTTCATATCTTCTTCATTTTAGCTCCAAATTGTAAGTTCTTTATATGTATTTTCATCTTCTCAACGAGTAGAATCTGAATCTGCACTTTGTTTGTTCAATCTGTTCTTCGAAAATTTCCAGATTATTTTTCAAGTATTTCGCATTTACTTCCAAAAATTAAATAAAATAGTTATTGTTGTTGAATTCATTCCAATTAATTATATAGTTGTTCACTAGCCTCAAGGTAGTTATTTATCTGAAGAAATTAATTTTTCACGAAGCATAAGTAGTTTTTTTATTAATTTTGGTAATTATTTGAGATTAGTTCATAATTTAGAATAAATACTAGAAAAATAGGAAAAAAATGAGTTCGGCCCTATTTACAGTTTAGTTAACTTAAATATCATCACTAGTAGTTAATATAAAATTCGGTACGAATTTAGAGTATTTTTTATTAATTTCGGTAACTACGTTATATTATTGTTTAAGTCAAAATAAATACAAAAAAAAAAAGAAAAAAATTAGTTCGGCCTTAATTTCAGTTTGATTCATAGTAATATCACTCCCAGTAGCTAAAATAAAATTTATAACGAAGTTAGCGTATTTTTAGTTGCTTTTTGCATTTTCTAGTTAAAATTGGGAAAATTATCAATTAGTTGTCAAAAATTGGATTTTAGGTTCAAAAATTGGTAAAAATTTCCAGAAAGTTATATTTTAGTTCCTACAAGTTTATTGTTCCAGAATATAATTTTTGTTTAATTTTTGCTATCATACATGTTTAATTCCTTGTTCATGTTGAATTTAATCCTTATATTGTTAATTGTAAAAATGATGATGAGTAGCTAAATTTGTTAGGGCATGAATTGAGAAAAGGAATATGGATTGACTTGTTGACCTAAAATTAGGGGTTAAAACTAATAAATTGGACTAGTTGTTTAAAATGATGAAATAGTAATTAATAATAGTTAGCCATTTTCATTAATTAAATTCTTGGAAAATTAATTCTAACTTGTCTATGAGATTAGAAATTAATTTAAGCCAACCATATTTTAGCACATTAATAAAGCCTAGAAATAGGATAATTTAATGAAAAGGATTTACATCTTGTCTATGAGAAATAAATTCAATTGCTAAAATAAAGAGTTTAACTAGTTAATGAATTTGGCTATTTTTATTAATTAAAATATTGGAAAATTATTTCTACCTTGTCTATGGGTTTAGAAAATAATTTAAGCCAACCATTTTAAACACGTTAATGACACCTAGAAATAGGATAAATTAATGAAGATAGTTTCTATTCTTGTCTATGAGAAAAGAAATTATTAGTTCAACTTTAGTCTTAATTTCCCTAATTAAGAGGTCCAAGAACATATCCATTTCTAATTACTCAATTCATTGCCCTTATTTGCATCCTTGAATATTCAATCTTAATACATTAATCTTTAAATTGCCCTTGCTCCTAGTTATAAACTAGCATAATATTGAACAAAATCACTTTCCTATATTGAAAAAGCTTCCAACAATTAGCGATAGCCCGTGACTAAAATTAAATTAAGAAACTTCTCCGCCATTCCTCAAGAGACACGACACTCGGGGAAAAACCGAAGGGTTAGACTCCGTTTTACTACAACGCCGCGAAAGCGGTTATCAGTTTATGATAAAGAATTACATTAGCGGTAAGGCTAAAGGAACTCATGGATAAACTAAAGTCTAAAAGTACCTGAACTTTTAAACATCCTGTTCAAGCGATTATTCTTTTTTAATCAACGAATAAAGACCAACCCTAGTGACTTTAAAGTGTAAACAGTTAAACTCATAGAGCATATTTTCGATTTAAATGAAAACCTTAATATTTTGTGACCTTAACTGAAACATAGTGTTTTATCTTTAGCAGATAGAACCTAGTAATCTTTTTTCTTATTCAATCAACGAATAAAAACGAAACCTAGTGAATTTAAGGTGTAAAGAGTTATAGTGAAACACAGTGTGAGGAAGTAAAAGGAATTGAAAAGCAACACAGTCAAAGGGAAGGAAAGCAGAGAGAGGGGTTCCTTACAGTGCAAAGGACGACAGGAAGTGTGGAAGTTTTTCCAAAGTTGCATATAAACAAATTTGTAGTAGCTGAAGACATGCTTTTTGGACTATGAGACCTTGCATCATCCATAACTGACGAAATCAATACCAAGGCATTCTTTTTTTTTTTTACCTTGGACATAAAAGCCACAACAATAAAATTGGGGGGCTTATCGCAGCCAGTGTTTACAAAAACATGGGAAGAAACATCATGAAAAAGAAAAATGAACAATATCAGACTATAGAAACTCAAAACTAACTTCCATTGATGGGCTAACAGGTAAAAGACCCATAAGAAACCATCTGTGTAACAACTGGCATGACTTGCAAAAGGTCGGACTTTAGAGCTACAGGATCCGAGTAGCAGTGTTCAAATTTTCAGCCATGCTAAGTTATGCTCTGGTGATGCTCGAAAGATATAGTAAGAGCAATTGATCCTGAAGACCATCATTCACAAGCTTATCAAATTCTGGTGGAGATATTTTGGAATGTTGTTTACAGTCTCAGACAAAAGCCTTCTAAGGTTATAGTCAGGTGGAATATGCCTGCATATTTGTGAACATCATTAATTAGAACAATCAATCGCACTATGAGACAAAAGCTGAAGCACCGTATGATCGTTGGTCGTCATTTTCTAACGCCGGTTGTTCGGACAAACCTCAATGGCACACCCAGATAGAGTCACGGAGGCCGTTGGGGTTGCTAGGGTTTTACTGGTTGGCATTCAATAACATACTAATATGGGTATTAATGAGGAAGGAGATGAAGAGCTGAGCAAAAAACGGACAAATGGAATGGAAATAAACCTGGATAGTTGGGACGAGAAGACGGAAACGATGGGAGCTAGGTCGGTGTGGATAGGGCGCGGTTGAGACCTGTTCCACGATACCAAGGTCAAGGCGGCTGAGTGTTGAAATAAGCTGGACCTGAAGGCTGAAGCTCACCCTCGATGCGTGATACCTGAAGGCTGAAGCTAACCGAGGCTGGAACAAACGGGAGTCATGAACGGAAATTAAACGGAGAACTAAATCCCAATAAAAGAGTACATGTTGCATTACACAATGTACAACTTCATAAAGCTAAATGTTTACACCAACATTTTTTTCATCCCTAAAATACCCTTACCCTCATTGACAATTATAAGATTTTAAGACATTAGATTAAATAAAAATCATGCTTAGTACGGAGTAGTTAGTAACTTAGTTCAAAAATAAAACAACAATGCTTGATGTACCCACTTTTATACCCACCATGTTTGTGGAGAGTTTTTTTTGTCTGTGAACCCGGGTTCACAGACAATATTTTGTCTGTGCAAAATATTGTCTGTGAATCGGAGTTCACAAACATAGGTGTGTACAAAAGTGGGTATAAGAGTGGCTGAGTGATTACAAAGATGATTTTATTTTTTAAAGTAAAAACCCTAGACTTCTTGGTGTCATCTCTTTATATATATATATAAGCATGTAACCACTGTCTGCCCCTGTAAAACCCTAAAGGCTAAAACCCTTCACGCAATCTACTGCTCTACTCTCTTCTCCCCCGCGAAGGTACTGCATTCTTCTCCTTGTGTTAAAGTTATTTTGGTATTTGAAGCACATATCGAAGGCTTGATGGGGGCTTGATGAAACCCAGTGAAGCTCAAAAACTATGCAAAAAAAAAAATCATTCATTTTGGTTTTAATGTCCTCTTGATCAACAATTCTTGATTTGATGGAGGATAATTCATTATAAAATGAACATTTTATTTTCGTTTTTTGTAATTGGCAGTGTAGGTCTAGTTCAATTGGGAGGCAATTGATTTTAGGATGTGAGGCAATTTGGAGTTATTTCAATTTAATCAGTATTGGTTTTAGTTCCAAATCAACAACATATTGGTAGATTTGCAGTTTAGCTGATTTCACCAGGAACTTGAAGATTTTCGAGTAGTGTTCTTTATTCCTGGTTTTGAACTTTTAATAAGAATTCTTCAGTTGAAATTGCTGTCCAGCCTCTGTTGGTATATGTTTTGATAGTTTATTGAGCTTATTATTTACAATAGGTAATTGTGCCGAATTTCTGTGTTAGTAATGATCCTAGAGCAGAAAATGGACTCTTTGAAACATGTTCATTGGTGATAAGCATATTTTTCTAGCTATGTACGTTAGGTAAAAGCAATAATGCATTTTTATATAACAGCCTTCCCACAATTCTGTTCTTGTTTTGTTCCTGCAGTCCATTCAACATGCTCTTGATGTTTGATTTCGTCTATCAAACTTTAATCATATTTGATTTCTATTTTGCTGTTTTGCACAAGCTGTAATGTATTCTTAATACTTTACTTCTAATTTAATACTCTGTATTAATCAGAGTTAACTCTATATAAATGAATCAGGAACATGTTTTGTTGGTGGCAGGGTGAGTATTAAAAACTTTAGAACACTTTTTTTTTTCTTTCTGAATTTTATATGGCCCCTGGGGCCTGGGCTGAACACCCCTAGTAGTTATGTCAAAGATTTGTTGTCTTGTTTGTTGAAAATTTCAGTTTTTTTTTGTCAATTCATTGTCAGGTTTAAAATGGCAAAAAACCCAAAGGTTTTCTTTGACATAGCAGTGAAAAAATGCAAGGCAGGAAGAATAGTAATGGAGCTATTTTCAGACGTGACCCCCAAAACCGCAGAAAACTTTCGCGCTCTGTGCACAGGAGAGAAAGGAATCGGAAAATCTGGGAAACCCTTACATTACAAGGGCTCTCAATTCCACCGCATTATTCCGGGCTTCATGTGCCAAGGCGGGGATTTCACAAAAGGCAATGGAACAGGTGGAGAGTCGATATATGGTGCGAAGTTTGATGATGAGAACTTCAAGCTGAAGCACACTGAACCCGGTCTTCTATCGATGGCGAATGCTGGGGCAAACACGAATGGGTCCCAGTTCTTTATCACCACCGATAGGACAACTTGGCTTGATGGGAAGCATGTTGTGTTTGGGAAGGTGGTTGATGGGTATAGCACTGTTGTTAAAGCCATGGAGCGCGTTGGTTCGCCTCAAGGGAACCCTTCTGCAGAGGTTGTGATAGAAGATTGTGGAGAGATTACTGAGAACTAGCAGCTGCCAGTCAGTTGTCAAAACCGTTGTGAATAAATTGGACGAGTCCAGCTCCTCTCCATCTCCTACCACCCATTCCCAGTTCATTTCTTTTTCCTTCGTATCTTTCCCTACCTTTTTCCCTGTATCTTAGTCATCCATATACCCCCCACCCTAATTGCTCCCCTCTTTATCTCTCTCCAACCGGAACTCCCCAGTTACCCGAGAAGATCTAAATTCAAATCGGACGTGCACTGTTTAGTTCCATCCTTCAACGGATGTTCTATATATGGTTTAGCTCATTTCAAGGATGCTAGTTATATTAGGTGCATTCACTCTATGGATTGTTGTGGACTTGTCGGTGAATTGAGTTTTGGGCAATGAAAGAACCAGGCAGAAAGCTTTTGATTATCAATGAGTTGTATGGGTGTTATTTTAGTTTGCCAATTAAATTCATTGTGTGGTAATAAAAGACTGAGTAAGCATTTTTGTTACTAAGGAATAGATTGTCTTTGGTGCATGTGGTATCTAGGGTGATTTTGAAACTAGCTTGCAAGTGATTCAAAATTGACTGCGGGTTTTTATTTGAGTTTAATTCGACTCGATTTCAAACTTAGCTCGTACTTGAACTTGACTTAAATTAAGTCAAGTTATATACAAACTCGACTAAGAAAAGCTTGTAAGTTACTGGATTACAAATAATACGAGTATTGATTTTTAAAATCCACGTATATGAGCATTACATTATACGTAGTATTTGGTATGAATCCATAATCAAAAATTACACATTTTCTGTTAAAAATAAAAATGCTACTTGTACATGTTGGATTATACGTCCAAGTGTAATTGTCTGTGTATAGACACTAGGGGTGGACTCGGGCCAGGCCAACCGGCCCGGAACCGGACCGGCCCGCTACTGTGCGGGCCCGGACCGGCCCGGTGAATCGGTTCGTGCCCGGTTCGGGCTCCCGGCCGGGCCCGGTTCGGGCCGGAAGTTAATTTTTTTTTTTTGAATTTTTTTTAAGTTTTGGGTTGGATCAGGTATTTTGGGCCATTTTAGGTGGTTTGGGGTGGTTTGGGGTGGAGAGGGAGGGGTAGGGGGTTAAATAAGAGAAGAAGAAGAAAAAAATCCGGGTGGCCCAGCCCGGCCCGGCCCGGAACCGGACCCGGAACCGCCCACCACCGGTTCGGGCTCGGGCCTCATTTTCTGAACCGAGGCCCGTCCGGGCCCAGGCCCGAACCGGGCCCGAACCGGAACCGGTCCACCCCTAATATCGGCTGTTTTGGTTCATTCTGTTGAAATTTATGAAGTTCTGGCTGAAATGGTTGCATTGGCTGATTCTGCTGATTTAAGAAAAAATTATTTTTGAAATATATTTTATAATAAAATAAAGAAAAAAATATGTAAAATAGCTAAAATGGTAATCTACAGTATCTTCAGCCAATACAACCAGAAAGAGGCCGTTTGACAACACTTTTTTTCGGCTTATCAGGCTTATCAGCTAACCTTTTCACCAAACACTGTAATTTTTGCTTTCGCGCGCTGAATTGTATAATAAGCAGAAAAAGTAAGGTTGGAGTTACTTTTCTGGCTATGTTGGCTGAAGTTGCTGTAGATGAACATTTTAACTGTTTTTACATATAATTTTTTCTTTATTTTAATAATTAACTATATTTTAAAAATAATTTTTTCTTAAATCAGCAGAATCAGCCAATGCAGCAACTTCAGCCAGATCTTCATATATTTCAGCAGAATCAGCCAAACCAACCGATTTTCGTACTACCAAACGGGCTCAAAAAGTAACTTCAACCTTACTTTTCCTGATTATATTACACAATTCTGTGCGCGAAAGCAAAAAATACGTGTTTAGTGAAAAAGTTGGCTGATAAGCCTGATAAATCGAAAACAATATCGCCAAATGGTCTCTTAATATTTGTAAAATACTTCATAAGACATATTTGTCCTATCTTAAAACAAAAGGGGTGCCCACAACATATTTGAAAGCTTGCACCAAAATCTACATTTTTTGTGTACACATTCTTAGGTGGAGATAGGATCCGGAGCCTCTACCTTACTTTAGAGTAAGGTAGAGTGCATTGCTTCCTCCCGGTCGTCCGATCGACAATTCAACGGTCGGAGATCTTGGGCTCCACTTTTTCGCCGATCTCGAGGTCGTGTTGGCCGCTCCCCTCCCGTCCGATGCGCAAGGCACCCTCCTAGTCGGGTAGAGGATCCCAATCCGTGGAGATAAGCCTATTACTCCTGATTTAATAATTTATTCATCCGCAGGATGTACAAACCCGTATATACGGAGTATAAAGAACGGACCAAATGAAACCTCCGCATTCGGGTCTCCACTTCTCCTAGCTGGTCACTTTCTTGCCGCCGGCACTTCACGGGGTATACCGTATACGTCTCCCATTTCCAGATTACAGGGCAATTTGTTATCGGTACTTCTCTACGGCCGGTTCCATCTTCAACTCAGTTTTCATGCCCACCTCTCTTTATTCAACTCTCTAGTGATGGTGAGTACCAACGCGGGCTCTTCTCCTTTTCGTACTTGCTCGTTTATTTTTAAATCAACTTCAGTGCCCTTTAAACCATTTGCAAACTAAACATGATCTTCGAAATGTTGAGATGTATGGGTCAATTTGGTGTGCGTAAAGCAAGTATTGCTCGAAGTCCGAGCATTTTGTTGTTGCACCAAAGCCCTAATTTGAACTCTATAGGAACAGATCTGAGTGCAGGGTTAAGTATTTTGTCATTATGAAGTAAAGTTCGGATTTTGTTGGGTTTAGAGTGAAATCAAGTGTTTAGGAGCAATGAATATGTTGGCTTTAATGAGTTTTTTATTCACTTTTTATGAGTGATGCTGAACTTACAATTATTGTTAGCCAGATTTGCTGTTTTATGGATTATGACGTAGCAAGTTAGTGGACCTAATTTAACACTGAACAGCCCCTGCATGTGGACTGAAACATCTTTTTGGCAGAACAAGTGGTTTTTGGAATCAATGGAATCTTGCTTATAATAGTGCTTTCATGATTTTTTTCTTGATCGATTGTGTAGATTGAGGTAATATAGTCAAAATTCTTCCCTGATTGAACTGGAACCTTTGAAGTTCTTTTGTTTTGTTTAGGAGAGCTTAAAATGGGATAAGATGCCTGAAAAGGAAATTAGTGAGATAATATTAGTAGGTAATGAATGATTGAGATCAGACATTATCTTACATTGTCTTGTTTTGTTTAATGGCTGTTGAGATGAGGTATTATAAAATTTTGTTTGGTCATGACCTTTTTTCCTGCTTTTGTTGTGTTCAAGAGAAAAGGAGGAATGAAATTTCAGTTATAAATCTTATATTTGATGATGTTGGCATTATTATTACACATGTAGTTTACCATTATGATGTCTGAGTGTCTGGTGTTACAGGTTAAATAAATCCCCAAAACAGATAGATTAATTCCATCATTGCAGCTTTGCAAGTAGCTATGCAACCAATTGGGGCAAAAGATCCTCAACTCCGTGAGAGCAACAGCCAGAAGGTCCACCCACAGCCCATGGAAGATTCTACGAATAATAAAAAACCAGAAGCAGTGGATGCTATAATTTCCAAGATTTTCACAAATGTATCCTCACTCAAATCAGCTTACATCCAACTCCAATCCGCCCACACTCCTTATGACCCTGACAAGATCCAAGTTGCTGATAAACTTGTGATCTCAGAGCTAAAGACCCTATCAGAACTCAAACACTTCTACAGGGAACACAACCCTAAGCCCGTATGTGTTTCTCCTCAGGATTCCCGTTTGGCTGCAGAAATACAAGAACAGCAGAACCTGTTGAAAACGTATGAGGTGATGGTCAAGAAATTTCAATCCGAGATACAGAACAAAGATTCTGAGATTGTTCAATTGCAACAGCAGATTCAAGAGGCGAATCAGAAACGAGTCAAACTTGAGAAAAACCTAAAGCTCAGGGGCTTATCAGCAAAAGAAAGTTCCGGAAACGGATTCATTCCTGTGGTTGATCTAACACCTGATCTTTTCAAATCTGCTGTGGAATCTGCATATCAAGCTGTTCATGATTTTTCCAAACCAGTGATCAACATGATGAAAGCAGCAGGATGGGATCTTGATGCTGCAGCACATTCAATTGAGTCAGATGTTGTATATGGGAAACGAGCTCACAAGAAATATGCATTTGAATCAAACATTTCTCACAAAATGTTCATTGGGTTTCAGGATGAATTCTTCTCCATGAAACCAGAGGATCCAGAAACCGTAAAGGAAAGTTTCTATGAACAGTATAATGCATTAATGGAAATAGATCCACTAGATGCTGTGGGCCAAAAACCAGATTCCGCTTTTGGAAAATTCTGCAGAACCAAATACCTTGCAGTTCTTCATCCAAAGATGGAGGCCTCATTTTTTGGGAACTTGGATCAGCGGAATTTTATAATTGGGGGTGGACACCCGAGAACAGCGTTCTATCAGGCTTTTCTAAAGCTGGCAAAGTCAATCTGGCTCTTGCATAGGCTGGCATTTTCATTTGATCCTCCTGTTAAGGTTTTTCAGGTCAAGAAGGGAAGCGAGTTCTCAGAAGTTTACATGGATAGTGTTGTGAAAAACTTCATTGTTGAAGACGCCGAGTTCAAACCCAAGGTTGGGCTGATGGTTATGCCCGGTTTTTACATCGAGGGAAGCATCATCCAGTGCCAAGTCTACTTGACAGGTGTGAAGGTGGCTGAATGACTAGTTGTCATTGACTGATGTTAGTGTCTTGTAACCTATTATGTATCTTTTGTGTGTATGTGTCTGCATTTGCTTCTCTGATCTAGAAACTGGTACAGTTGTAATCATTGTATTTGCAGTTGGTATTTGTTGTGCAATGAGTTAAATACATCCTTTGTTCACTAAAAACTCCCTTGTTGTACTCGTATGAAGTAATGTATGCTCACTTAAAGCCATAAGGGTGGTTGGCAAAATGATTTTTCTAATTCTAATGGTGAGTAATTATTCTAATTGTAATGAGTTAGGTTTTTTGTTGTGGAGAATATTTTAAATCAAATAGGATTTGGTATTGATTTTTTTGTATTTAAATGAGAATAAAAAATGTTTCACACAGTTGTTCTAAAGTAATACATCTAAAATTAATCACTGAGGTTCTTTAGTTCTTATATCACTTAAAATAATTTTGTCAAAGCACCTCAGTAAAAGGATTGTTTTTATCAAATATCAGCAGAATTAATTTGAATAAGCTCAAGCCTGAAACAAGCACTGTTGGGGCATGGGGCGTATAAGAGATTCATAGGAAGCTAAATCCCCTGTAAACGACCTTTCAAAAATAAAATCCCCTGTAAACGAAGTGAAATGAAATGAAATCTTGGTACCCAGTTTATGAATGTCATTAAGGCTATCCCTGACATGATTTTGCTTAAAGATTGTCATTAGCTTTTAAGTTTTAATGAAAGTTTTTCAAATAAGTCGCTTGAGCCTTCTCATTTTAATCTTTTTTTTTT